TTAAATTATTAATAAATTTTATTTTAAAACTTTAAAAATAAAATTTTAAGATTTTCATTTAGAAATTAATTTTTAATTAAAATGTAAACTGTTTTAAGAAATTAGTATAAACTGCAGCTTGAGAGTGCATTTTATTTCTGTAATTTTTATAATTTATTATATTGTTATTTTATTGTTATGTAAACATTTACGATAATTTAGCATTATTTTTTAGATTATCGTCTGTTAAAATACATTTCCCTCTGACATCTGTATAAAGATAAGATTAGGTATGCATTTTCAAGTTCCGTATTATATTTGTATTTTATTCTTCATATTTAAAATCTTTGGTTAGTAATCATGCATCAGCTATACTTGGATTCGCAAGTATTCGATGAAGTAGGAAAAAATATCTACATACTTACAATTACATGATATATCGCAGTTCAGGTTTATAAATTTTACGATATCAATAAAGCCCCGATATCTTTCAGCTGACAAAAATGGTGAGTTAAAATCGATAAACTAATCTGTATACAATGCAAATGATCTAATTAACAATTATGATTATTACATTTCACTATTACCAAAACTTGGCGCGCGCGTTATTTGAGCTGTTCCCGGCCGAATGGCGTCCTTCCGATCTTATGTCTTAACTTTTATTAGAGAATTCTATATGTAATTGCACCTTCAAATTAAGAAGAAGGAGAGGTGAGTGACGAGTGGATTACAATGGAATTATATATTCTTCTAATGAAATAAAAATGTGAATTTCTCATGTAGTCATTATAATTTAATCTATTTATTTGTTGACACATGCCAGGCTGTGTAGCAGATTATTGCATAAACTCTGCTAAAAAGAGTTTTGAAATGTGTCGTTTTCATAAGATTAAAACGATCAAAAATTTGTGCTAAAAGTACAGAATGACAAGATGGCTTCATCTAATAATTCAGTGTTATGTGAGGTTAGAAAAATCACAAAAGCAAATTCTTCATTAAGAATTTGCTTTTGTGATTTTTATATAAACAAATTTTACACAATATACATTAATAATAAATAATTATTAATGTATATTGTATATTATTCTAGATATATTTTAATGCAGAAATGTTTTAATGCAAAAAGGAAGATAAAGAGGAAACATAATTGTATATTGATTTATTATATTACTTTGTATTATTATGGAATTCTATCGTCACAGAAAAAGTTTTGGATATAAATTGAATATATACTGTAATAAAATACTTATATATATCTAATGAACAATTAAATATACTTTTAAAAAGTTCCTAAAATCCTATTTTTAAGTTTATTCATTCTCACACTGTTTATTTTTAAACAAATTTTATTTTCATTCTTTGTATTTACTTCTTATTTGTCATGCTTCTTTTAATTTATTCTTTTAATTTATTCTTTTAATTTATTATGAAATTATTGGCCCGTATTTAGAACGTGCTTCTATCTCTAAAATAGGATCTAATTTTGAAAAAAAAGTTGTCCAAAAAAGTTATTGTTATAAATTTTAAATTGATCGAAATCGGTTGAATAGTTGTACATCATTATTAACAATACAATTTTTTAATAAAAATTATTAAAAGTACTTATAAAAAAAGTGGGGAAAATGCGAAAATTGGTTACAATCATTTGTGACGTCTCGATTCGGTAATTTTAAATTTTTATCATGATATAATGTTTATAAATCGTTTGTTTTGCATGAAAATAAGTTAAAAAGTAATGTTGCAAATAAATAACGCAAGATTTATTAGAGTTCAATCGAATAATCTGCCTAAAATGTGTCAGTATTAATGATATCTGATTTTTTTCTGAAATATCTCGATAATCTGTAGAGAATTGATGACGAGCAGAGGTCGTTTGTTCGTTAAGAGAGAATTTTGATTACTCGCCTGAGCTCTCTTCAGTTTTTTTTCATAATAATCTGTCTGATATCCGTTGCATTTCTGTTTTATCTTGGTTCGTTCGATGTCAGATCGGGAGGAAGAACTTTTTCTATCAAACTAATCTCAAAGTGCAAAACAATTTACACGAAGCTCTTGGTCTCCCCTTCGGGAGAAAAGCCGATAACTCTATCGATATTCATCAACGAATACGACGATTGAAGAATATAGATTGGTCTACAGTTAAGAGGAATAAAAGAAAAAGTAACTCAGATACGGAAGACAAATCTTGTAAGAAAAATCTACAGTGTGCGTCAATGGAAGAAGTCCTGATCGAACTGGTAAGAATGTAGCTGTCGCAGAAAAATCAACAACGCCGGTCAAGCCTATTATATCTTATTATCAAAATAACAATGAAAGTCTATACATGTATGGGTGCAACTGGCTGTTGGAGAATAACAATTCTAACCGAGCTAATAGATTGAGTCCATTTAAAGTAGGAAAATTAATTTACAAAAAGTTTAACAGCATAAATTATATATGCAGCAAATTTAAATCTAGAATAGAGATCAAATTATCAGACTTACATGAAGCTAACCTGTTAGTAAAGGAAACATCTTTTGAAGATAATGGCTTGAAAGCTTTCATCCCCAACAATAGACTATGGTATTAAGAAGAGGTTTAGTTAAAGACATTGATGAAGAAGAAATTCAAGAATCTCTAATTTCGGAGTTTAAAGTTCTGAAAGTTAAAAGACTTAATAAAAAAAAATAGACATTCAAATAGGCAAGAGAACCCAAATGAATTCCTAAATTCCCTTGTGATCACCTTTTTAGATCAAAAATAAGAAAGAAGTATTTTTATATTGGGAGTACAAATTAATTCGATCCGTTTCTTTAAAGATAGCTCCAGATGTTGTGAATGGTTCATAGTGACAGCTGATTTTGACAGTTTCAGAGAGATTAAATCTGCTAATAATATTCAGTTTATATCGCTTTGAATTTCATATAAAAACCTTGATTTTTACTGTGTTTAAAATTTTGTGTCGAATTTTGTGTTACTCAAGCAACATTTGCGGGAGGTTTTGATTTTCTGCTTTAATTGGAAGAAAAGTGCGACTGAAGCCCATCGAATGCTTATCGAAGTTTAGAGTGGTGACACTTCTCCAACTGATAAATCATGTAGAGAATGGTTTTGACGTTTCAAGGATCGAGATTTCAGCGTTGAAGAGCGACAAGCTTCGCTCTGGACAGCCAAAAAAAAATTCGAAGACAAAGAATTAGAGGCATTATTCGAAGAAGATCAGAGTCAAACGCAAGAGGAGCTTGCAGAATCATTGAAGGTAACTCAACAAGCCGTTTCTGTACGATTGAGAGCCATGGGAATGATTCAAAAACAAGGAAATTGTACCTTATGAACAGAAACCGAGAGACGTTGAAAGGCGATTTTTCACTTGCAAACAGCTGATTCAAAGACAGCAGAGAAAAGGTTTTTTGCATCGGATTGTGACTGGAGATGAGAAGTCGATATTCTACGACAACCCCAAGAAGAAAAAATACTATACTAAGCCCGGTCAATCGTTGCCATCGATCTCAACATCAACATCACGGCCGAACATTCATGGTTCGAAGATCATGTTTTGTATTTGGTGGGACTAAAAGGATCTTGTTTACTATGAGCTGCTGAAACCTAGCGATTCCATTACGGGCGATCGATACCGGTTACAATTGATTCGTTTGAGCCGTGCATTGCGAAAAAAACGGCCAGAATACGAGCAAAGATGATAAAGTTATTCTTCTTCATGACAATGCTCGGCCTCATGTCGTTAAAGTCGTAAAAAAATATTTGAAAACGCTCAAATGGGATGTTTTACCGC